GTGAAGCTCCCACAGCCACTTTACACCTGTCTGTTGGTATCTAGAAGATACACGTCGGTAGATTAACCTTTTCATCCCTAAGAGTGACTAGCAGTTAGTTTTCCTCACAGTATCACCTGTGAGTCAAGCCTTAAGATCGCAAGAACAAAGGAGATGATCACCAACTAAAGAAGCTCTTGATTGTTGGACAAATTCCCTTCTTGCATGTCATATGAACTTTGTAATAGACCTCGCTCACTGTAGAGTCTCTGTGGCTCAGTGGTAGAGCATCAGAGGGCCTGAACACAACAAACCAGTGAGGGGGTTTGGGAAGAGCTGTTTACATCTTTTTTTCAAGATCTTTCTCCTTTACTAGTTCATCACTCTCACTAGAACTACTTCTTTGCTACACATACAGTAACTCCCAGCTTTCTTCAGTAAAAAACTATTATTGATTCAGTGGCTTTGAAAATAATCAGTTGGAATATTGGGCAATTGTTTGCATGAAAACAATATACCATCCTGGCAAAAATTTGTAGGATGAGTAAAGAGTGGAACTATGGAACAAAGTGACAATTACGAGTTCCTTTAGAGGATTCAAACCTAGGATGGAATCAGATAGGACTTACTTGTACAACTTGTCCCATAATTTGCCTGGAATCTTAAGCCCCTTGTCAAAAACTACATCAGGATACTCTTCCTCACCACTTTCAACAGCTGAGGAATTGCCTCTCTTTTTGAGAAGTTCACTGATTCTCCATTCCCTGAATCATAAAGTCTCAATTGTTACACAATCATGTATACTTAATATAAATTCACAAAGTTTGTTATCTAGAGCTAATGAGCTAACACAGAGCTAACACTTAAAACACCAGCTTCAGAAACTCTTTACTGTGGCCAACTTACATTTATCAACTCAGTTGATCAAACCAAATCATCTTGTTATACCACCCACTGACACAGCACCAAAGTCTCTTTAGAAACTTACCCCTTACTGTACATTATGATCACTGTTATGAGGTTCTACAGCTCAACGTAACAAAATGAAATTTAATGTAATGCGAGAAAAATTTTGTTTAAGTTATATCTGAAAAATAAAAATTTTAAATTTCATCACATGAATGATAAGATGTACAATCCTTACTGTCAATCAAGTAGAGCATTAAAAATCACCTGATCCTTTGGCGGTACAATTTTTCATTTCCATCATCAACAGGTTTATTGTCATATCTTCTTCTGGTCATTTGATTTGTTTTCTTCTTCTTCTTCTTCTTCTTTGGCTTAAGGCTATCTTCTTCTACATATGCAACATTTAAAGATCTTTTTCTTCCAGTCTGCTTCTCTGATTTAGTTGGTTGGACATCATCCTCATTCCAGTTCCTCTCATCATCCTCAAACCAACTGTACTTGAGCTCACCTTCATCAGGAACGTATTCAGCATCATAAAGATCTTCATCATAGTTGTCCTTGTCATCATCACCATCCTCAATTTCATCTTCTCTTTTATCATTCCCACCATGCTTGTAATTCTTAGAGTTTTCAGCATCAGTTGCACCAAAATTGTTCTTGTTCACTTTATTGCCATTGCCTGGAATGGTCCCTCCAAATGGCGTCATCTCTCCATTCTTAATCAATGCATCTTGTTCCAAGAGGTTTTCTCTGACAAGTGGGAATTTCCTGTTTTCACTCATATCCTGAATATTGCCATCTGAGGTCTCAAACTCGACTGAAAATATAAAAACAATGAAATGTAGGAGTTAGCACCACATAATTTGGGATCCCATTTCAAAGTCTCACAAGCCTCTTTAATCAGTTGTGGCATCACATTGTCTTGGAACTTTAAGTTGTCTCTACAAGGAACAGACTTCAACCCTTTAACTCCCAAAAGTGATTGAAATGTAATTTCTCCCAATAATATCCATACAATAACCAGTAAACAGGTGATGAGAATACTCAAACTTATCAGGTTAAACTTGTCTTATTGATCTAACATCAAATTCTCATAACTTATCGACAAGAAATTGTGTAGCAGCTTGACAGGAGAATCAACAATCAGATTTTGGGATTTAATGGGTTAAATGAGGGCACATTGTGACACTCCCCGACCAGGTCTCTCATCATCTCTATGTACATGAATTGCTCAACTCATAAAATGATCAGGGTAATTTAGAATTATCAACTAAGTTAATAACATAAACTGGCCATCGTAAAGACTTTAAAGGCTGACATTTAAAGCATTAGCCCTTTGCCATTCGCTAACAAAGGGCTAATGCCAGGAACATCAGCTTTGAAACCGTTACGGTTCATGTACAAGTAACTATATAACTATAACTATTATAACTATTTCTGCATTAGATGGACCCAAAAAATGAAAAAAAAAAAAACAGTACCCTGTTGTTCTAATTCCTCCTCATTTCCAATACCTAACTTGTGGTGTAATGCCTTTTGAGTTGCTTGTAATTTCTTCAACTGGCGAAGCTAAAGAAATTTGCAAAAAATAATGCATTATTAGAGTTAAACTTACTCTATCTTGATCAGACTATGCATAAAAGTACATGTACATCTATGCACTCAAAGCATTGTTATCCTCCCCAAGCTAAGTTAGTTAAAATCCTAGGAGCAGGGGGAGGGAAGAATTTTCAAAGGCTGCAATTTGGAGAGAAAATATCAAATTGTATGATGACAAATAGTTTCTTCCAGAGGGGTTGGATAAACACTATGTACTTATTGACTGAGTTAGTTTGGGCCATATTTGCCTTGAAGTCATAACGTACAGACTGAGAACAGCATGCGTCATTGATCTGGAGCCAAACATTTTCACCTCCAGCCCAACTTAACTCAGTCAATAAGCATTTTTATTATATGACCAATAAGTTTTAAAAATTTCAAAAATTTTGTTTAACCTGAATATGATGCAATAGACTGTCATGTGCAGGAAACCACACAAAAAATTCTACAGTTAAAACTTTTCCTTCATTTTTGTGTCAGAACAAGAAACTCACAATTCATTGAAAAGTGTGACTTATTTTCTCATTTCTGTTCACTGCTGTCACTCATTTTTAGCAACAACAGCAAACAACATTTTTACAATGAAGCCATAGAAGTGCACTAGGGCCAGACGCCTTTTTCCAAACCAGCTCATGTGAACCTGTCCCGCCCTACACATGTCAGCTTTCCCAGCAGCTTTCGATGGGATTGCATGAGCTGGGCTAGATGGGTCATTTGATAATTTCTAGTATAGTCACACTCAGGAAAGGAAAATCTTGACAGATGACCTGGTTATTCAGTCTCCAGAATATACTAAGTCTTTTTTAAACACATTCATTAAGAACGCCTTAATTCAGGCATTGCAAGCCACAGATCTAAAACAAAAATAATTGAGTTACATAAATTTTAAAACTCAAGAAAGCTAGTGCAAAGACAATGAACCTGGGTTTGTATTATTCACCTTCTTTGTGTTGCTATGATTTGAATGTTAATGCAAAGCTTTTCAAAAACCTTTTTATATTGCATTTACAACAACAGAATTATCCAAAAAACACCTTGTTATCCTTTTGTTTCTGCACTGCTTGGGTTCTTCTCCATGATTCATATCCAGCTCCACTCTTACTCTCAACCCTTTTCAATATTTGGTCAATCTCAAGCAAATCATTTTCCACAATCCTGATAATAAGAATGACAATATAATGGGAAAGGTTATTGTACTCTGAATTGCTCATTTGCTACAAGAGCCTTTTTGTAAAGCTAGAGACACACTTGGCAATTTTATGTGCTGATCACAGTGATCTGTGAAATTCACCATGTATGCCCAGGTCTGCAGCCGTTTTCACTGATTGCTGCAATCAGCATATAAATTTGCTGATATCTGTGAAGTCAGATATCAGTGATTTTTTGCTGGTAATCAAATTTGTTGGGATTAAGAAATAAAATGGTCAAGTGTGTCTCCCACTTAATGTGGATAATTCATGATTTTAATAGCATACACACTGTAGAATCATTACTACTGTAAATCAGCCACTAACATTAAGCTACTGAATTGATTGTCAAGACTGGTAAATTCGAAGGTCCTCATAATTTAGGGTTCAGCATATGATCTGGCCATTCACTGATACTAGATGACGAAATTATTCCAAGAATCAAATGGAATGATTCAGCATTTAAGGAAGATTCTGACCTCACAATAACCTCTGTACAGTGTAGGAATATTAAAACATGTACATTCTTCCTTGATGAGACAAGATGGAACCAATTCTGGTCTTGTTTGCAATGGGGCATATCTCATTATGTGAGATATCTTTGTATAACTGCAATCTTCAATTTAGAGATCGCAAAGATGATTGTCAAGCTCTCCCAAGCTAACCTGATATCTTCATCCACAGCTTTCAGGTTTTTCTCCCATCCTTTCACAATCTCCTCTGTTTCTTTCACAGCAATAGCTTCATCGACCTGCTTTAAAACTCCTTCCTCAAATTCATCCTGGTTAAATACATTTACTCCCAGGTTTCTCAACACCGCTGCTTGCTCTTCGACGGGTACAGATGGAATCAAGCCAGAATCAATGGATATACCATAGCTCTTTGTTTTGTGACTTACGGGGCTTGTCTCTTCATCCTCCTGAAAGTTTTCTTCTTCATTTCCCTCTAAATTCTTGAAAGTTACATCCATTCTCCTTAACCCTGGCAGACAAACGGTAGAAGCGAACCTTTTTTGAATTATTCACCAGTTTTCACACAGTTTCGACACGCTTCATTCAGATTATGTAAGAACATTCGCATACAAATTTTTTAAGTCCTCAGCAATTGACGAGAAGAAATAGAACTTCTGTCCATATAGATCAACAATTTCAGAAAATATTCTGTACAATAAAATGTACACCTCTCTCGTATCACCCTCGCAGGCTAAGTCCTCTTCCAAATTTTTCTACCAAATTGCCATGTCAGCCATTTTGTTTGTTCGTATCTTTTCGTTACACCACATAATTTTTGCAAGTTAATGAAACCGCTGAAAGAACCTGCTCGCAAATTTGCTCGTGTAACTCAGGTGATCGAACGGGTGTAAACGGAGTATGACGCAAGTCTTACATGTGAACAGTTTTGTACCTATCATTACTCTGCGTCGACGTGCTTTGATCAGAATTTACTCTTGGCTCAAAAGTTCTTCTGTTCAGAAGAAACATTTTTCCGTTTCTAAATACTGTCCTTACACAATGTCACAAGGAACTGTCCATCATGTTGCAAAGAGCGGGTTTGAAACATCGAAACTTTATGATCAGGTCAGACCCGCTTACTCAGAAGAGGCCGTAAAGTTCTTGATTGGTAAACTTGGCATTTCACACCAAGATGCTTCATCTAATCAGCCAGTAAGAATCCTAGAGCTTGGAGCAGGAACAGGGAAGTTCACTGATGTTTTACTCAAGGTTCTTCGCGGCAGTAATGTGGAAATAATTGCAAGCGAGCCGCTTCTTTCAATGAGAGAAGAGTTTAAACAAAAATTTCCAGCCACAGAGATGAAAGATTTTTCTGCTGAAAATATTGGTATGGATTACATCTTGTGATTTTGTAGTTAATCTATGCTAAAAGAACAGATGCAATGAGTCTGTCGACGATGGATGGTAGAGGACACTTTTATTGGCCTAGGGGGTGGGGATGGGGGGCAGCTGGCTTTGGCAGTAGAGCTCAAGAGTGCCTGGTAAAGCACTCTACAGAGGTTGTTATACAATGTATAAACACTCGACTCCAGGATATTATCACTCATTCTTTTAAAAAATACTTTAATCATAGAGCCTTTTCATACAAGAAGACTTGAGTTGAAACTAAAAAGAATGAAAACACTGCTTCCTCTTCTTTTTCTATGCATTCAGCATTTGGCATTTTTATGAATCCAAGGACTTAAATAAAAGTAGCTTGTAGTAACCTTGAGAAACAGAAGTACTCTTACCCGTATGTCCACCTATACAAGTGTTTGCTGACTGCAGTAAATAAGACTACAACTCTGAAAGGGTCATGAAAAGAATTATTGTACATTTATGTGTTAACACAGCCTTTAACAAGTGGTGGTGAAGAGAGTAACCAGGCCTTTTGAGCTGTTGTAGACTACCATTAATGTGCTTTCATGGAAACCTCTACCTTAAGCGATAATAAAAATTATAATAAACATTATTCGAGTGTGAAAACAAACTGGAATTCCTCTTAGTATTCTGCATGCTAAATGGAAGATTTTGACAAATTTCAGAACCCAATGACTAGTGGCCAGAGAAGGTGGTTGTTTAATAGCTCGTGAAGCATTATTCACCATTTCATTTCAAAAACATAACACAGTGATCCATTCCAGTTTTATCTATTGCAGTCTTAAGGCTACAATATCAAAGACCATCCATCATCCACTTCGTAATAGACCTCACTCACCATAGAGTCTCTGTGGCTCAGTGGTAGAACATTGGAGCATGAAATCCAAAGGTCTGAGGTTCGATTCCTGATGGGGACTCAAAATTTTTCTTTGTCCCACACTCTTGACAAGATGGGAGAACATCTTTCTCAGTATCAATTTTTTTTTTGTGTATGTTTTAGGTTTGCCTCATGGTTCTGTACATGCAGTGATTGCGGCACAGAGTTTCCACTGGTTCGCCAATGAAAAGTCGCTTTCTGAAATTCAGCGTGTACTTGTTCCTAGTGGCAAGTTCGGTCTGGTTTGGAATGTACGTGATCACTCCGTACCCTGGGTAAAAGAAATGGATGATGATGTCATTCTTCCCCTCTATGAGCAGTCCAACACACCAAAAGCACAAAGTGGTGAATGGAAGAGACTGGTAATGGCATCTGATAAATTTGGGTCACTAGAAGGTGATGAAAGTTTTAAGAATGAACAGGTCATGACATTTGATGAATTTGTAAGGAGGCTTTTATCTATTAGTGTCATAGCAGTGAAAAGTGATGAAGAAAAGAAAATGGAAATTGATAAAATTAAATCAATTTTAAACAAACATATCAAACTAGAAACAGATAAAGTTATCCTTCCATACAAGATTGAGATGTACTGGTGTGAGAGAATGTGAATTATTCCCAAACCAAATAATTTAAAACTGATTTAGAATTTTTATGTAGAAGACTCATGACAAAGAACCATTCTTTAAGATTTATTTAATTATCCAATAAAGAAAATTGTTTGAATAGTTAAGGTTGTACTGGTGTGAAAGTACATAAATTATTTCAGTTACCATATTTATTCAATTGAATGTCACAGTATTTATTCAATTTTTTGTGATTCAAGTGCAGCGTTTATACAAGGGGCATTTATCTAAAATCCAATTTATTACTTGCAAAAATGGTATGGTAACTAACCATTCTCATTTTAAAAAGCAGAAACGTGTTTTGGTGCTGTTCTAAAAAGTCATTTTTTGTATTGTTGTCAATTTCACAATTTCCTTGTTAATACTGCTGCAATACATAAAGTGAATAGAGGATTTGTGTCTGCAATTAATCAATGATCACTGTGTGCTTTTTGAGTCTATTATTCAAATAAACACCACATCATGATACAGTGTTTAATTGAGGGTGGCGTTTTATTAATGTTTCTGCTCTAAAATGTAGCATTTATTAGAGGGCAGTGTTCATATGAGGGTGGCATTTAACCAAATAAATACTGTAACAGACATTTTAAAGTATTTTGATATGAATTTTTTACAGGAGATTTTCTTACAAAGTACCATTTGTCAAATTTAACAATATGTACACAATCTTTATCATTTTACCTTAACCCTTTAACTCTCAGATGTGATAAACATGTATTTTCTCTCAATAATATCCATACATTACCCAGCAATCAGGTAATGACAATACTCAAACTTATCAGGTAGAAGTTATCTTAATTTAACACCAAATTCTGGTAACTAATTTACAAGGAGATGAGTAAAAGCTACAGGGAAGGATGAAAAATCAGATTTTAGGAGTTAAGCAGTTGTAACAGCTGGATTAAGGACAAGTACTGAAGTAAATTGTTAGAGATAAATTAATTGTTGATGCTGATTATATGAAGTTGTACACTTTGACGAATAAATTATATTTTTTTATTCCTTTTTTAGAGAGAAGATGATATATCATAATTAATAACCTTTTTGATCAGTATGAAAAATGAAAAAAATATTTTTCAGCCACCTTGGAAACATCAATTTCCCTTAGCTACAAACAGCATTTTCTTAAACCTTTATACACTAAGAGTGACTGGCCTCTAACTTCTCCTTACAGAATCATCCTTGAATCAAATGTAAAGATCATAAGAATAAGGGATATGATCACTAATTTAAGAAGCTACTGATTGTCAAACAAATTCTCCCTGTCCGACTTACAGGAAATGTAAAGAAAGAAGTATGGAGAATATGAATAGTAATGTTAGAGTGTTGAGGGTAACATGTGAAACCGCAATCTTTTGTGCGCCTCGTCAGACGGAAAAACTACACGCACACGTGTCTTAGGATGGACAACCAAAATCCTGCCAGAAAGTTGCGAAAACTTCGGCAGAAATCCAAAAAGTTGCTAAATGTCTTGATATTCTTATATGACCGTTAAAAGAAAGCTTCAGTTTTTGTTCTACACAATAATCCCTAACATCGGTTTAGAAAAATAGCTCGAAACTGCTTGCATAATCTGGCTTTTTTGACTCTCACTAAATGCAAAGGTAACGTAATTTAGTTTTGAATAGACTTCTTGTGACTTGTTCTGTTATTAAAACTTTTTGTTATGAGTAATGTGCCAGCAAGATTTCCTCTGTATCAAATCACATGTGTGGAACATCAATTTTCTACCAAGCCTTTCCTCTTTGGAAAAAAAAACACCCCTCCCCTTTCTCATTCAAGGGGAAAGACATCAAACGCTTAGACTTTTTTTCTCAAAAGTCTTAAGAAGATCCTCACCCAATGGCTGCTTATCAAGATGATGTACTTTTCAACAAAAACACATCCCAGGTGGGACACTTTTTAGTTGAAA